CACCGAAGTTCATCAACGTATATCGGCAATACCTATGGAAATGAGCCCAGACATTTGCCAAACAACATACAAAGTCCGAAATCGTGCCTCGAATTGCGCTATCTCACTCCTGCCAGGTAAGTAATTCCAGGTATGTTTTCCACTCATGTTAGCATGCATCATTTCTTAATGCATTTTAAAATGGGACTCATAATCCCGACAAAAACAACATTCATTGCATTTGCATGGTTGAAATTTAGGTATCATTTAGTCTTTGAATGTAACCTCTGCGAGCTCACCTTCAAAGAGGGCAAATTGACACCTAAATTTTAGCGACCATTTAGTCGTAATTTGTATAGAAAATTAGGGATTAAATTTTTAACCCCTAAACAAAAATATTTAGGTTGCATAACATATAGTTTAAATTCATTTTAGATTAATTGCATTTTGCATCGGACCGGCGGTGACGAACGAGCTTAAATTTCATCGAATGGGACTCGGCTCGCTTGGAATGCAAGGGCCGGAATTACAAGTCAAACGGGCTCGGTTGTTTTAATTTGAGCTTAATTCAGCCCATTATCCTTAATTAATTCAGCCCATTTAAATTAAATTAAAATCTAAGCCCAAGCCTAAGCCCGTTAGGACTAGAGAGCCCATCTAATTGACCTAGGTTAGTGTTATATATACATCGTTAGGTCAGGATTTTATGTGAGGCCACACATTGAATACACGGCCACCCAATTGACATACACGGCCAGAGAATAGAAAGAGAGGAGAGTGGCTTTGTTTTGCTCGAACGCCCGATTGCACCACCATTGTGCAAAACCAGAAGACAGCGAATTCCAGATCGATTCTGTCACGTCTCGATCGAAGTTCCTCCTGCCGTTGACGCGCCGCCTGGCTTTGTCCAGTTTCAACGACACCTCCTGATCTTGCTCTTGTTTCCCAGAGAACATCTTGCTGTTTTTGACAACGTTGTTGCTCCTCGTTGTCACGTTCCAGTTGAGTCGTTACACAACGCAGTCTACACAGCAGAGCAGTGGAGGAAAAGAGAAGCACGTGGAGCAATACATGGCCGAATATGAAATTTTCGGCTCAGGAGACTCTCTTGGCTATTGACCACCGCCCGCAAGAGAAGGGTTTGGGTCTTTGTTTTTATTTTATTTTCTTCTCACCGAACACATACAGGTTGAGTTTCATTGTTTGTTCTTTGAGAATTTCGGTCAGATAGTCAAATACAACTCCAGGAGGGACTCGCACTTCAACACACGCGTGCATTGGTTGCACTCTGTTTGATTGGCATCCTCATTGGCTGCCATAGGCATCCTCTACCAAGTTCTACGCTAGCGTTCCTTCGAGATCGCTAGCCGCAAGCTCCCTCACCGATTCCACACCGTGAGCTAGCCACCGAGACCAAGTTCCAACGACCTCCGGTCACCGCTGCGACAGGCCGTTGAGCCGAGCGTCCCTACCGTGTCGAGCACCACCACGAGCGCCTACCGTGTCGAGCACCACCGCGAGCGCCATCGCCGAACGCCACCGTGAGCCGCCGCGCGACGCCGCTGTCGCCCGTCGTCCGAGTCCGATCCCGATCCACAATTCGAATTTGGAAGTTATCTCGCAAATTAGGTAATTCAACATTATCCGATATTTTCAAAATATTTAATTTCCTAATATGGGTGTTTGAATATTTCGTGAATATCATGTGGATATTTAGATATCTTAGGATAATGTTCGATATATCCGCAATATTTTTAAATATTCAAAATTAGGAAAACTTCCTAATTTAGCAACGTATCTGACGACTATCCGACCTTATCCCTAAGGTTCGATACGCGGCGATACGGAAAATTATTATCCTATCCATAACCACTTGGGTACGATAATGATTTTTATCCGCTTCCAAATTTGAATAATCGGCTTTCCGTCGATATCTATAACCCTATAGATATGACCGATAGTTTGATTTTTGTGCCTAATCCGAGTTTGAAACAAATATGGCGGATCGCGTGGACGTTTTGAATGTGGTTGCTATCCTTGTTTATTTAATTGCTTTCCTTTTCAAATAAACAGAAAATTCAAAAAAATATTAATTAGATTTGAATTAGAGTTTTTGCATGTCTAGGAATCCTAAATGTATCTAGAAGATAGAGTAGTTATTTAATTTAAATTAGGACTTGAGATGATCTATTTCCTAGTTTAAATTAAGTAATATTCTAATCTTAATAGATTATTCAGGTTATTCATTATTTCGAATTTTAACAAAAATCCTAAAAAGAAATCATGCTAGGTAGATTAAGTCATCATAGTTTGCATGTTAATTTAGGCATTTTTATTATTCCGAATTTAAATTGAGAAAATACCAAAAATAATCATTCGTCCTATCATTAGAAATAGGTCACGTCGTCGCACATATATATTTTGCATGCTAGGTTGCATTAATCGCATGTCATTTTCGTATGTCATTGCATATAGGCTAGATTTCATTTAAATAAGTGAAAATCCAAAAAAAAAGAAATTGAGTGAATTGCTTGTTAATTAGAAATCATATTAGGGTGTCAATGTGATTTTCTAGCTAACAATGCGGATGCTTACGTTGCTTCCAGGTAAGTAATTCTTCCAAACTTGCAATTTATTTAATGCTTTAGGTGTTAAATTGGTGGTTTGCGCACTCGCATGAACACCTCACATGTTAGTAACTAAGTTGAAATTGATCCAAACCTGCCTCGCCAAAACATTTTTGAAAAGAAAAGGTACCGAAAGGGCGTTAGACCGGATCTAGCGTAATCAAGTCCCCGGGCTTAGAATCTCGGTTCGTAGGAATAAAACATATCTCCCTATGTTTTATTTAGGTTTCTAATCAACCTACCATAAATTGATTAGTGGCGACTCCGAGCATAAAAACTTTTGCATGTTAAAAACTTAAACTCTAAGTTGCGAATTGGTAGGGCTTGGGAGGGCCCGAGTTAGGCTTAGTCTTAACAATCCATTAGCCTGAGAGAAATTTTAGGTCGCGACAAATGTTATTCCTACAAATATATATAAACTAGCAAGATGTCCATGCTAACACATGTCTAAAATTGTATTTGTTACATTTTTCTAAATGTTGGTAGTTAATCTATTTTCATTTATTGATACTTTAAGTTAATTATTAAGTAAACTTAGGCTACGTTCGTTTGGCGGGAAATATTCTCCTTTTTTTCCCGGAAGTCATTTTCCTGGAAAATGTTTTCCCGGAACATAATTTTCCGGTATTCGGCAACCAATATGAAAAAGTTTCGGAAAATATTTTTTGCCGGCGGCGGCGGCCGACAACCGGTGACGGCGACCGACATCCTGAGAGGTAGCGGTGGCAACCGGAGGGGGGAAGGAGGAGTTTGGCGGAAAATGATTTCCGCTTTTTAGAAGCGAAAATCATTTTCCGGCAATTTAGTCATGTTTTCCCTCATTGAGGGGAAAATGTTTTCCGCCCCCGAACACCGGAAAACCCGAAATGAAGACAGCCTAATGTCTATCGATATTGTCCTGATTGCTTTACAAAGTTCATCGAAATTGCCTTACTTTCCTTTTAATGAGTCCAAACACATATCTGTTTATTTGATATTGATTGGCAAAACAACATTTGTGGTGAAAATTAACAACATGAAATCTTACATATTTATCTCATCTTTCTTGGAGAGGATTTCTCTTTTATAATTTTTTTTTGAAATCACTGGTTAATTTTGGGAAATTTTCAAATAAGAGCCTGAAGTGCTTTCGTTTTCTCAAATAAGGACATGAAGTGGACCTTATCTTAAATGAGGGCTTGAAGTGTTATCGTTTTCTCAAATAAGAGCATGAAGTGAATATTGTCTCAAATAAAGACCTGAAGTGGTTTATTAATTTCAAATAAGGTCTTCACCTTGCTAGTTGAAGGGCATTTTCGTCATTTATCTTTTCTTTGAATTTTTTCCCTTTTACCTTTTTCTATTTTTTTTCGTTTTCTTTTTCTTTTCCCTCTTTCCTTCGCCAGTCGCCGGTGGAGGTCACTGGCGAGGAAAACCCTCGCAACCTAGGCTAGGGCGGCCCTCGATTGACACCGATGAGGGTCACCCTCGCTAGCCCAAGCAAGGGCGGCGTTCACCCGACGCCAGCAAAGAATGTCCTCCCAGCCCAGGTGAGAGCGACCCTCGCCTGAGGCCAACGGAGGTCACCGACGATGGCCACATGAGGGAAGAGAAAAAGAAAAAAAGGAAAAAGAAAAAAAAGAAAGGAAAAGAAAACGAAAGTACAAAACTATATTTAAAATTTTTTTGACTAAAATACCCCTCCTCCGACACCAGAATAGTCACCAGGCAGCCAAAAGTCCTTATTTAAGACGATTTGGCCACTTTAGACCCTTATTTGAGAAAATAAAGGCACTTTAGGCCCTTATTTGACATTTTCCTGTAAGTTTTCCATTGATTTGCTAATATTCTCCTCTCTGGGTATAAGTGCTGTCCCGTTTGTACTCACAAATACCTGTGAATTTGATGTTCTTGTTCCAACAAATTAAGATAGCAAATGTACGCATTAGACCAGTGACAAAGTGATCGGTCAACTCTTCAATGGTCGTTGACTTGAACATTCAATAAGAAGACACCGGACTCTGCTTTTCCATGACACTATGATGCTGGTGACCAGAACATTTGTTATTTTTCCTTACCTATGTATGTAAAATAGCTTGACTCAACGGATGCCCTCCCCGGAACTGTCGCCGGATTGATGAAACAACCTGTCAATACTGTGAAAGAATGACACGTTGTCGATATTCATTCTTAATGCGGTCCCTAGACATCGAACAATGCCTCAGATTAATCTTCACATCTCACGTCAAGTCATGTGATTGCTTCGATTCAATCAGCTGCTTCATCACTAAGCTTTATGGATCTCCCTGTTTAAGAGCAGAGTTCAAAACTAAGTTTATACTTCAATTATGTATGTATTAACGAAAAATAAAAGTAGGAAATAGCAAGGGAAGCCAAAGAAAAGGGACATGCCTATGATTTGCCAATGTGACTAGCAAGGATAATGAGATTCATGACTTGACAACAGATTTTGTTACAAAAACAAGAAAATTATGACTTATGATAAAGATATATTATCACTCTGCGTACCGCCACCAAACCCAAAGTGTCACCACAAGATTCAGGAAAAACAATGGAAAGAAACAAGAATAACTAAGCACTAACAGGAGTATCATTGAGCTTAACCACAACGGAAAGCCAAATTAAAGAGATATGACCAACTTAGCAGAAAGGGTAGAAACTCACATAGGATTTGGCTACGCATCATTTGGGGGCGACTTTTCTGCAGTGTTGGCCAGGCTCATACTGGGAGATGAGTCGTCGTTGCGTAAGTTTCCCTCCGTCACTGTTTCGGTCATCATATTGACAAAACTGCCAAACATGTTGTCATTCAAGTAACCTGGCTTTGAAGGCACAGGGATGACATTGAAATGGCCCAGAAGCATCGCCACTATACTGGACATCCGTGGCCTTAGAGATGGTTGCATCTGGGTGCAGAGGAGGGCCACATAAATCACTTTTTTAACTTCCTCCTCTTCGAATTCTGATAATCTAGGGTCCACTATATCAAGGTGGCGCTCATTCTCGTACAGGTGCCAGGCCTTAAAAGCAAAAAATTGCAGCAAAATCAGCATACTAAAGTGCACGATCAAAAACCAAAGGACTATTATAAATGAAGAACAAAAGGCCATTCGCCCCTATTCTTTTTCCTAGAAAGGTTAAGACATTGGAGGAGTCAATCCCTTCCCAACTATTGTTTTCTTGGATGCCCATTTTTTTAGGTCAATGCGCAGATTGAGGCGGATTATCTGCACCCTTTTAAATCAAATATTCTTGCTGATTTTATATTTCATTAATCTAAATCCAAAATGTGTTGCTTCTGTAAAAGAGGCTATATATCCATTTTCAGCACATCAAATTAGATATGGAGTAGATCTTTTAAATGAAGCAGAAGCAGTTTAATTGAATACTCTATAAGTGCATTGCCTATGATGTTAACACAGATATCACTTGTCTTTACAATCAGATATGATAAGTACGCTGTGACATCTCACACGCCCCTTGTAATCTGATATACAAACAAATATGTACGAATCCATACCTACACATAACAAGCATAAACATACATATGCATCACCTGGTATATGCGCACATATAAGGTGCGCACCTGCACACGTGATGGATGTGGGAAATTGTTTGCAAATTCTAGACCTGTCAAAATGGGTCATAAACCCATTTCTTAACCCATATATTAGTAAATGGGTCATAAATGGGTATAGGTATAATACGGGTGTTAAATGGGTCATAAATGGGTTTACAACTTATTTAAACTCAACTCATCTCTCTCGCCCTCACTCAATCTCGCGCTCACTCACTTCGCACTCTTATATCAATTTAGGTATGAGTTTTCCTAAATTTAATTAAATATGTAAGTGTTTTAGCAATATGGGTCGGGTCGGGTATGGGTTAAGAAAATTGCATTGCGCATATATAGGTTATAAACGGGTTAATGGATCAATTTGGGTCGGACCATTTGTGACCCGATCCACCCATTTGACAGTCTAGCAAATTCTTATACTCAATAGAAAGAACCTTGAGAAGGGTTCCGGATCCTCAAAATCCGTTGGCCAAAATAAAATGAGCTTAAACATAAAAAAACCATATGCAACTAATTCTGTTCATCCTTACCCACTCAAGCAGATATGCTACTTCTTCAGATATCCGTTGGCCAAAATAAAAATGAGCTTAAACAAATTAAAAAATCCATATGCAAGTAATTCTGTTCATCCTTACCCACTCAAGCAGAGATGCCTCTTCTTCCAATGCACAATTTGGCTTTCCGCCAACAATCTCCAAAGCCACCACGCCAAAGGCAAAAACATCAGTCTTCTCAGTCAGGTGCCCACGCATGGCATACTCCGGCGCCAGATACCCACTATTCCAGTAAAATGCAAAGGTACTCATAAACATTAATATACATATAATAACAAAACAAGCAAAGATGCTAAGCGTTCAGTATCTTACATTGTCCCTGCAATTTTAGTGCTTATGTGAGTCATTTGATCATTGTAAAGCTTTGCCAATCCAAAGTCAGAAATTTTTGGATTAAGACTTGAATCAAGCAGAATGTTGCTCGCCTTCACATCTCTGTGCACGATTCTAACTGTTGATTCTTCATGAAGGTAAGCTAGTCCTCGTGCTATGCCCAAGCATATATCATAACGAGTGCCCCAGTCAATTGGAAGGCCTGTTTTCCCTGTCCCATTCATGTCAATAGTAATATTGTGTAGCATTTTTGCATCGATTGGAATATCCATAAAATGCAGAATATTGACATTTACCAAATAAGGCATGATCGAGACTACTGTTCTCTAGAAACTCGTACACAAGGAGGCGTATATCACCATGTACACAACATCCATACAACTTTACGAGGTTGCGATGTTGAACAGCAGATATCGTCGAAATTTCTGCTAGAAACTGATTGTTTCCTTGGTCAGATGTCGCAGAGAGTTTCTTCACAGCAACAAGTCTCCCATCACCAAGTGTTCCCTACAGTAGAATTATCTATGCCTTAGGGACATAATCGTGTTTACGAAACTATCTTCATGGAGGAACACGTACATATCAGAGAAAACAGTATCAGTTAGTCTTTTACAATTTATAGACTTGGGGCTCAACTAAGGGTCCATCAGACAAATATAATCGTGAATCATGAACTTGAGGAATGAAAAATTCTTTGGTAATCTATTGAAGTGTTTCAAGCTTTTAAATACAGTGGAGTTAACGATGCGAGCAGTTCAGAGGAAAAGCTGAGCTGAATGTCACTTTGTCCAAGAGCAAAAATTCTGCAGAAGCTCATCAAGCTAGTCCTTGCTAAATCAAAAGCATCAACCTGTTAATTTGTTCACCAGAAACTTGGCGGGGGCTCAGGTCAAATACATATGTAATAAGCTAAAAGGATCTGACATGAATGTTTCAATGGAGAGAAAATGCTAAGGGCTGTGTAGCAGACAATGATGGTCTAATCTCTTAAAGAAGGAGCTTAGGAGAGTGGAAGAGCCTACGGGTAAAAAATCTTTCTAGAGTAGTTTCTGTTCATCATGCCACTGCTACCATGGCTCAGCCAAATATCTGTCAATTAATGGACTATTTATTTATTTTGTTTTCTCCCAAACGGAACTAACTGCTGCACTACGATAATATCTTTGTAATCACGTCAATAATGCAGAAAAGATAGTGACTATCGAAATATAATTTCTAAGTGATACGAACAGAACTTTTCAAGACAAGGAAACTGAAAATACATATCCCCTCTAATACTTGACCAACAAGAGTATTTCTTACTACAGAAGTTCGATGTATGTGAATGAACATTGTCTTGTCAAGACCACTCAATACACCACATTCCGGAGTGCATATACAATATCAAACTTGAGGCCGACACCTCTTTTAGCACAAGCTAGTACAACCTTGTCTCCATGAAACAAAATGATATGTGTTCATTCATGATATTCGACTATTAGCTATTCTAAAATATTAATCATCCCTTGAAGAAGAAAATATTCAGTAGCATAACAGACTTATGAGTTATAGTCATGATTGTATTTTAACAACCTAAAGATTGTGAGATTTTTTTAATATTTAATTATTCTAACAAAGATGACAAGAGTGAGCCCATGGGAACCAAATCTTCACATGGTACATTCTCAGCTGATAATTTCCAGTGAGATAATGAAATGTAAGTGACTAGCATGCACCTAGGGCCTAGGGCTCGAAAAAGGATAAATAATAGCTTAGATCAATCAAAACTCAAATGGAATCCAGAAGATTACGAAGTGACTGTAATCTCGGTTTCCATGAACAGGAAGTCTGCATTAATTCATCATAATGATGCTAACTTATCAGTTAATAACTCAGCCAAGGGATATGTTTGACCATCATCATAAGCAGCAATTTCCAAAAAAGGAACGTATCTTCATTTCCAAAAAACTCTTAGTTTCAGCTAAAATTTAATAACTTTACCATTTAGAAAGAAGGTGCTAACACATTTAGAGACAGTAGAGATAAAACTTTCTGTGAACTTGGGCCGGCACTGATGGCCGCAGCTGGTAAAATCACATGAACAAAATAAGAGACAATAGGTACTGACAAAAACACAAATGTAACATGACATAATACACTCAATTCAAATTTCGACACCAATTGGCACCTTTTTAGAGTAAATTAAATGTTAAAATGTCATACTGCGGACAATAATTACAAACAAGACCAGGATAGTTGGAAAGCATTGCAAAGCCCTAGAGGACAGAAAGCTTAGTCCCTTTCCATATTCCAAATATCAGGATGCAAAATTACCTTATAAACAATTCCAAAACCACCCTGGCCCAGCTTATTAGCAAGGCTGAAACCATTCGTAGCATTGTGTAGCTCTGAATAGTTGAAAGTCAATGCCCCTGTAGCAACTCTCAGGGCATCTGCATAACATATTCATTAAGAAAAATTTTCAAATTTACTCATCACCCATCTGCATAAAACTGACACTGTGTTGCGAGGTCACCACAGTGCTCTCCTTCATCGGCAAATATATTATCAAATAGAAGATCTATTTCCTGAATTCCGGCACTTCTCTTGGAAATTTAAGCCTTGCAGTCAATTATATTACGTTTATTTGAAAGGTAATTACGCATTGATGAGCGATAGAGAAGAGATGATAGATCTCCATTACTTATTGCTCGAGGAATTTCTTTGGGAAGCATATCCCTGGTTAAACACTTCACATCTCCTTCACAAAAGAGGCTCACTAGTGACAGAGTAAGTCATACACTTCAAAAGAAACAGATAACTTACTGGCAAGATAACTTATAAACCAGTCCAAAAATGCAAAGGCCCACTATACGATAAAAACGATTGCATAGGCACATTCTACTAGATCAAGCCACTCACATAAGGAGAAAAGGTGGGACTCACACTGGGCCAAAAAAGGACATGTTCTTGACTTACTTTTTGCTATTTCATTGGTTTTTCTGCCAAATCATCGATAGAATGACACTAGGCATAACTATTTTCCTATATGGTAGAGTATCTTGTCCAAGAGGAAAACCATGTAATTGCATTGAGGATTACGACAACCAATTAACACTAGACAAGTATGTCTGAAATTATACGAGACTACCTCAAGAACCACAAATGTTGGGACAAGAAAGCACCATAGCAACATTACTAGACACTTTGACACAATGCAAGGCTATTAAGAACCGTCAAATAATCGTCATGCATGTAACTTATGCAAAATGGCCATTTACAGAAGGATCAAACACCCATGATGCAAATTATTTCACCTGTCTCTTGATTGGAGCTTGGCCTTTTCCTTATTCTGAGAAAATAAAAAGCTACAAAAGTAGATAGAAAAAACATCACTCCAACACTAACTGCAATCCCTGCAACCAAAGGCATCATATTCTTCCTCTTGTCTGGAAAAGTAGTTGTAAAATCTGTAGAAGCATTTCAGTAGAGTGAACACATGGTGGTGAATGTGCACTAGTCAGAAAATGACATTCGGTAAGAAAAGAAATTTATTACCTGGACTAACACGGATAGCTGAAATAGATGGTCCATATGTACCTTCATCAGGCATGCAGCATGTCCCTTTTCCAGCCCAAAAGAAGTGAATTTCAACATAGTTTTCAAATACCTGAACCTTCTTAAATGCCTTCTCGACAGCTCGGAAGGACCTTCCACCCGCCTCCTTTCTAATGTCAAAGTCCTTTGACATCAAAATCCCCTTGAATAAGCCAAAAAAGATAGATCAGATTGCCTAGTACAATTTGTCACGCTAGATGAAGAAAGTTTAACAATGCTTATTGTGGTAGATTTTCACAAAAACCTTGTCCACCTACTTCTTGAGAAATTAGCTATGGGAAACTCAGAGAAACTCATCTCGAACATTGAAATGTTCATTTCTCATTTAAAGCCTGTAATTTATGACTTTGTACACTAGTATCGACAATTGTAAAAAGAGATGCACCAAAAACACAAAGATGACAAATGATAGTAATTCTCTCTCATCACGAACTGGAAAAGATAATTCATTGGAGTGAAAATATAATTATATAAGGTACTTATACAATAAGCAATCTCGTGCAAGGATTTTAAAATAGGTAAATGTCCATCATGAACCCGACGCTGTTGATGAAGAATCGAGAAAGAAAGATTGAGTATAGTCTCAAGTAAAGTCATAAGTTCATAAACAGCTATGCCAATGATATTATAGTTGTGTATCGAGGACATCTTACTGGAGCTTCATGCCACTAAAATACTTTATGCAGCATGCAGGTCTAAAGACTTGCCTGAATGTATACATCAAAGACACGCCTTCCCCGACTTGCCCACTGGCTATCATCTGGAAAAGCTGTTTCTGCAAACCCTAGGTTCACAGTGTAGTTGCCATTCTGGAGTCCCAATCCATAGTATCTCAATGATGACGCAGATATCCTTGTTGTTTGGAAGAGAGCTCGGTCTGACGTATTCAAGATGGCGTTGGAGGTTGAACGTGTGAATTGGTTGTTGGTAGCATCGGTAAAAATCCCAACATTGCTAAGTGCCCACCTCTTTGTCTCGCTAACAAAGAATGAAGCTGGACCAATGCCATTGTTATAGTCACCCTCAAACAAAGTTCCATCAGAAGATTCGACTAGTGGACCCCCGGAATTGATTGCAAAACTAATATCTGCGAAGGAATACATAGTTATCTGATTGGATACTATTAGAATGTCCACCAACCTATTAGGTGGAGGGAAACCGTATATAAGGCCCACATAAACTTGTGACAGGTAACGTCGAATACAATAACATCCCCGCTCTTATGCAAACATGACCGAGAACTGGAACATGGAAATATGGAATGGGAGCCATACACGTGAAATAAACCAAGGAGAAACCTGAGTTAGAATGTCCATCTCAAAAGCTTAAGCTGTTAAGGGGAGGCAGATCGCGTGCATATAATGCTACTATAAACCTCATAGACAAGTGATTAGTGATAATTTAACAAATACTCAAACATCTATGTTACACTCTGAATGGCTTACTGACAAAGTTTCAGCTTAGCAGTCTTTACCAAGACCACATGCTCAAAGTTAACATTGACGGATACATAATTACATATGCTCACGTCCTTTGCCAATCGGACCAATTCCTTTTGAAAATGCAAAGCAATTCCACTCCATTGCACAAAGTCAGCCATAAAAATGAACTTCGATGAGGTTAATTGCAGATGACAAATTGTACATCAAGGCATTCATTATTCAAGTACTTATGGCGACAATTTAAAAAATAAAAAGAATAACCATTCTTGCCAGCAGCAAGACCACAAATATAATGGCAGTTGGTAGAGTTGATTGAGGTCTTACGCAAGAATGTAAAAGCAGTTATGCACTGATTACTTCAGTGATAGCACCCAATGTCTCCTCAGCGCCATACAGGGTGGATAATACTACTTTAAGTTGAGAAGCAGAGACAAATAGAAAGCTGCGTTAAGTGGCTCCTAAGCTTTTATAGCAATGTGATGCTCCAAAACATTTCAAAAAGCAAACACCATGACTGTTTAAGCCCTTTCTTCAGTAACTTTGTCGTTCTTTGATCTGATTACCCAAAATAATTAGGACAAAACCTGCGAGGAGCAGTTGAAAAATCTACAAATTAATGAAGATTCTTCATTAGGAGCAACATTGTGCAAGTCTACAAACTTTGGTGCCTCTTTGTTATGAGGTTCTATCTCTTGGTTTGGCTGCAATCTACAGGGTGATGTTACTAGCTTCCAGGAGGAGGCCTCGTTTTAGAGGAGGTTTATTTGCAATTGCATCAGTGTACTACCACGACTGTTCAGTTAGTTTTTGAGAAATCATGAATCACAGGTGCAAAAGAGTATTTTGACATGTCAAAATGATGATTGATCCGCCTCCTTACTAGCTTCCATATTTAGGAAAACCTTCCACAGTAGGGTACAATGACTTATAATAAGGTTAATTTCTCAATCAAGAAGGAAGACGAGTGACAATTTAATGTAGAACGGTTTCCTTAGGCCCTCGGAATGGCATTTGCTTACAGCCAATCAGCTTTTTCATTTTCCAAGGGTCCCATCCATATAAATACATAATGGGATGATGCTTTGGCAAAAAAGAACTAATGACAGGACAGCCAACCATTCTTTTCGACTCTAGATTAATGAAGAAGAGTATACATTACTGACAACAAAGAGACAAACCACAGATGCAACATTGAAACAAGTATTATTTTGCATTGCGTGTAAAGTTCTTAGTGATGACATTTTTTTCCCTTAAAATCTATCTTTAAGATAAAGTCAAAATTTTTAATTTTAACTTACTAACTCCTGTGTCTTGGCTGCAACGAAATGGTCGTTGAAGGCAAATCCATCCCAAAGGCAAGTCCCTAAGTTCAAAAGAAAGAGAGATGATACTTAACTGTACTGCGTAACAAACATTCAAGTTCTTTTGTATAATCAGGTGTCAGTTTTCATATATTGTGCAACGCGGAGAAAATAGTTGATCTGCCAACTGATGTCTTAATTTTTGTTAGCTAAAGGTGCATGTTTCAATTATTCTCTTATACATAGTAGTTTATGTTTTAGGAGGATCAGCGGCTTTCAGCAAAATGCAAACAAAGAGTCTACATCATGAGTATGCGTCAAAAGGTCATCTATGAAACTTTTCCAGCAAATGAGTCGTTGCTAAATGCAAAAGCCATTAAACGACCACAATTTAGAGGAAACGCCACATTTGATCTGCGATTGAGATGTTTAAATTTTGTACATATATATATGTATACTCCTGCATCCTTCCAGTTGCTGGTACATTATTATCTTGTACCCATAGAATGCCAATATCCATATGTCATACATCTTGACTTTACTCGTTACCATGTACAATTTTCTGGTTGAAGCTACTGGCCATCACGGCAGAGTACAAAAAAGCACACTACAGCAAACATATTGACCTCTAAGCAAACGAATAGGACCATGGTATCACTCTGAGCTAAAAAATTTCTCTACAGTGAAAAATGAGCATAATGCCTTATCAATGAACAATTTAGCACCTTTTCCCACATGGGAAAAGGTATGTTGATCCTTCCAGATTAAAAGTGTTGCATCGACTACGAAATTCATTATTTGTAGGCCTTTTTTCCAGTTACAGACTCTATGTACTTTAACATGTTCCATTTTCATCAAGTTGTTCATTTTAAAACTCATCATTTTACATACCTCTTTCTGAATGAATCATTTCTTTTTTCTTTCAAATCAGAGAAGGAGCCATCTCTCATCTTGTATGCCAATACAGCAGAATAAGGCATCATCATAATAAACATCTACACTAAACGGGAGACCACCAGTAAAACTGACTAGAGAGCATTACCCACTATTTGAACTTTCTTCTGTGAAGTAATTGGCAACGAAGTTACTGAATGTGCATGAAAAAAGCATAAGGTTAGTCTGTGAGGGATACCGGTAATATACAGAGCACACTAGACTATCAAATATGCACATTGGGGGCCAAACAAGAAAGAAAGTACTTTCGGTTGAAGCTTCTATACTTACCTTTGAATGTTTTCCTTGATCCAAGAAGGAAAGTTGCCAGATAAGTTATTGTAAGAGAGATCTCTGTTACACAAACCTGTTCAGTCAAATTGATCCCACAATGTCGTGCAGTTTAGTAGATGCTCATTGGTTTGATTCACTCACATATAGCCAAGAGAGATGCCTTTCTTTGAGGGGAGGGCTCCACTCAACTTATTACTTCCGAGAGACCTAAGCATGAAATAGGCATTATTTGATATTGGATAGAACATCTCAAATGATTTGGATAACTAATCAAGATAGATGCCTTACAAATAAGAAAGTGAACCTAATGTGAATATGGAATCTGGAATTGATCCATTCAGATTATTGAAGCTTAAGTCTCTGCAAGGCAAAAAATTGTCGATAAGAATATGAGAAAAATTTAATGATTTTCTTGCAGGTGGAATCAATCTTTCAGAATCAGTGTAAGTCAACCAAAACTCTGAGACCGCTGGAAATCAACCTCATTAAACAGAACAGGGTTTGGTTACTTAGTGTGACAACAAAAAAAAAAAAAAGAAGAAGAAGAAGTGCATGGTTAAGGTTGCATTGAAAAATCCCCAGAAAGCAACAAAAAAGATAGAAACGGTATAGTATGTTGGGTAACTAAACAGTTAGCTTAGTGGGTTTCTGGTGGGACCTTTGCTTTAAACATTTCTCTTTTTCTTCTACCCTTAGAAAGTGAATTTGGACTTATTTTATGTGTTAAACATTCCATATTTTACAAATACCAGTATCTTAGCATTTAAAGTCACCCCAAATTTTTTCATCTTTTACAAATTAAATTATTTCAGCAGGGAATCCGACGTGGCTTATTTTGTTGGCCTAAAGCTGAAATAAACATTCCCTTTCATGGGAGCAACAGCAAAATAAGCTCTAGGGCTTCAAAATGAGCTAATTCTTGCAGGGAACGATAAGATGTATGTTTTAGCATCTTTTATTTGTCTCAAAGAATGACCACAGGGAGCTATTAGTTGCAGAGCTTTTCATTAATTGGTAGATAACTTACAGGTGCTCTAATTTTTCGTTACTACTGATATATGGTGGAATAGTCCCATGAATATTGTTATTCCTCAGAACTCTGCAAGCAGTCAAACCTATATATGTTAGATACCTCAGATAAAATATAACTGAACGGAGAAAAACACTGAAAAGTGTCAAATTTGACTAAGGCTGCCTTACAAAGTTGTGAGATTCCTCATGTCATTTAGAAATTCTAGTGTGGAGATGCCATTAGAAATGTCGGTTACTCTCCTAGAATTCAAGTTACGTATGAGGTTATCCAGAAATTAGCCATGTAGAAACAACAAAAAGAAGAAAAAAAGATAGTACTGGGTTAACCATGAACATGCTTACAATTCTTTTAAAGAGGTTAATTTGGAAAAGGTTGATGGTATTGGACCGGCAAAAGAATTGCCTTGCAGCCTCCTACATATAAAATTAGGACAAGATGATTATTGATTTGACTTCAGCAATAAGATCCAGCATACAGAGAACCTAAGTTCCATCTCCATAAGGGTAAGAACAGGAAAACAGATGATAAATCAAACTATGCCACCGTACAGCTCAGTAAGTTTGAGCCAGTTTCCTATGAAGTCAGGGATGGAGCCTGTGAGATTATTGTCAGATGCCCACCTGAGGTTCAGAGAATATCAGAATGCCTGATGTCCGTAATGACTCACAGAAAAGTCCTGAGATTACACACCATTGGAAACAAAAGGTTTTATAGGGTCTTACAGGGTATTTATATCTGTAAGATTTGCATAAGATGAAGGAATCGCGCCGCTGATTCCTGAGCTAGAGAAGTATCTGTCCACATGAAAATTTCATGAAAAGTTAAATGGACAATGTTCGTGTTTTCTCTTGATAAAAGAAGACAATTTTAATGGATCAACTAAGCAATAAATGGTGACAAAGTAGAAGCAGGTGATTATAAACGAAAAAGGAACCATTTCCTCACTTTAATTTAACCAGAAAACAGTTGATACCAACTTCATAACATCAATCTACAACATCCACCCTTTCTAATAGTGTTGGCAAACAGGAAAAGAATACAGACATGATAAGAGAGAAATGGAGTTTAAGACAAAATACACGTATTTGAATTAGGGCGTTTCTCGTTCGAAGATATGGAGTGGTAACTGACTTTTCAGCTAAGTCCAGAGACCATTACTGATATTTCCATCATCATAGCATGTGTTTTAATTTAGGGCGAGTGAGGATCACAATTTAAGGGAACCAAAATAAAAAGCAACAAAAGTTGGAAGACTATATGCAACTTCGTCGCATAACAAATTTTGAGAAGGAACTACAGAACATGAAGAGACTCACAACTTTTGTAACTTTGAGAGATTTCCAAGAGTGCGTGGTAGAGAACCAGAGAAGTTATTTTCTGCGAATGACCTGCAACAAGTGCAAATCTCAAAAGTCATTATGTTCAGATGGATCTAATGGAGCAAAAGAGAACGAATAATAAATTTGTAGTTCTTGTGACTGGGGGGCATTTAATTGAACACGATACTAAGTAACAGGGAAATAAGCAAAGCTTCCATTGCATATCTACAGAAGCATAGACAAACTAATGCATATGCAATCATCACAAACCTTTCACGCTTATGTGTTCTGTTACCTCCATATGTGATTCAATCAATATAAAAGGTCAACTACCATTTGCCAAAACTTGCACCCCTCTGGCATTATCTTCTGTCTATTTACAAAAACTTTCTGGCGCAAATGCACGCTTTGCTCATGATGATGCAAGAAAACTCACTAACTTTGTCTTCTAAGTTTTAAATTTCACCTTAGCGATGGCCCTAAGACAATTTTACTGATCCAGCATAGAATAAACCCACTCATCCTTTAGCAGTATATATCACTTATAGATCTCTTATAACAGGGAAGGGTCGCTCAAACATGGAACTTGATGTCTCCTCTGTAGCAACAGACTATATCATTGCACATTCCTCTTGAGTGTCCAGAGATGGAGCTCCACAGTATGCAATCTAAAAGCATGTACTGAGAATTTAACGTAGATTAATTGTGATGAACTCCTCAATCCTCAAGATTGACAACTCACACGTGCATTAAGAAACGGAGTATAAGCAACTCCATGGCTACAAATATCGATTCTTTGTGATCAAGATACACTCAAGTCACATCAAAAAATTGAAATCCAGACTCCGATACACTCAAGCTACCAGCATGACTTACACTGCTAGCAGCTCAGTAAGGCGTCCGATCTCGTTCGGAAGCTCCCCGGAGAACACATTGGCATTAAGGCTCCTAAAAACAGTAGAATGTGACAATAACTAGAGAGGGACCAACAACAACTTAAACATCATAAAACCATGAAAAAGAACCCTTTAATCAAATCACATCGTTCTTGTCACAGTGGGGGAATTACAAGTATTGCATGCGACTCAGATTGCCGACCTGCGCCGATATTGAACCCGTCAAGAGATTCAGACCCAAGTTCCTGCGACCAAAAATCAGTGAAAATTCAGACCCTTTCAGACATCTATGCGCGTGATAAAACGAGGAAAAACAAAACAACTGCTCATGAATCTTCACTTTAATCAAAACATTTGTCCCTGCCGCCGACACAAGCTGACTGCAGGTGTTTCCCTGCCGCTGGTTTCGACTCGAATTCAACCGTCGCAAGACCAGGAGACCAAGTAACAAAAAATTTAGGAAAAAGCAAGCAAAACAGGAATCGTACAAATATGTGAGGTAACTCAGACTCCATAGCTCCTCCGGAATCGTACCCACCACGTTCAGCATATAGATCTTCCTGCAAAACGACACGGTGTTAGTGTTTCAGATTTTGTGACAAATCGAGACAGATAGAACAGTTTACAAACCGTCCAATTAAATCCGCGTAACACACATTTTCAAGCATACCATTAGGAGTGAACAGTTCGAGGTCGGTCCAGATTCCACTTGGAACCTATCCATTAGAATCGGTTCCCAAATTTTTGGAACTTGAAATCTACCATGCATACTCTGTAACCTAAAACCTATCCAGTTACAGGTTCCAATGTTGGTTCTAGGGTTTATCCAAGTTCCACTCGTATTCTTAATTGAACAATTGCAGTGAATTATCATCTTAATGACTACCATTTGCTACTACTATTTACTAGCCTCAACTCATATTTAGACACATGAAGAACATGAAACATTAACAAAGTAAAAGTCTCGGTCATGGATATCGCCGGAAATGAAAGCTCGGACTAGTGATTCTATAATACACACTCATCATCGGATGCCATGGAATACCATCGGATTGCACGAAAACATAGAACAAGAAAAACACAAAAACAAGTTCCAAGTTATGGAACCTATTTGTCAGAACTGGTTTTTCAAATTTTGAAATCTGGAACCTATCCTGCATATCCCGGAACTCGGAATCGGATCGAGTCCTAATAGCCCGGTTCTTTGGCTTCCGGTTCTACCCTCGAACCATGCTCGCTCCTAGCGTACTTAATTACTAAACCAATCGAGAGAGCCATTGGTACTCACAGTTCAGTGATATGACAGGTGGAACCACTGTCATAAGAACAATCGCATTTGATGTACGGCAGGTTGTCGGTGTCATCGATGCTGGTATCAGAGAGGGCAACGCCACTGCATGGTTCTCCGCTGATGTTCCACTTGTTCCGCGGCGCAGCCAGGTTCCATTGTTGGAATATACGGTTCAAAGCTTGTACTGTGTAATTAATAAACAAGCACAAAGCAAAAATAATGATCAGGATTTCCACAGGAACTATATGAAGGCAAATGGAGTTCAATGCTAAGCCAAACTGGTCGTATGTTCCTCGAGCCCAATATATAAGTGGCCATCGCTCCCAAGTAAGTCTATCTCAAAAATTACACATCCAAAGGCCTATTTTCCTAACAAAGTCCCTAACTTTAGATCCAATCTCAATTTTGTCTCGAACTTTTCATTTTCTTAAAAAAAATGCCCACCTTTTAACCGATTACATGAATGAAGGAGGAACTGTCCTTTCATTAGGGTCGGGGGAAAATACGGTCGAAGCAAATAGCCTTTCCTTTCTCTATTTTCCAGTTTTACCCCCTTAATTTGTTTATAAAAAGAGTTTATAATCACTTAATAAGATATAAGTTATTGGTGAAGAATTCATCTTGATTTATTCCTCTAGTCTTTTGCCATAAAATTTTTTATTAGCTAAATTAACTTATAAGTTTCATACCATGTTATAGATGTACAAATCAATTGTTTTTCATAATCCAAAAGCACACGCATGAAAACCCAGCTACCAAATCCACTGACGCCCCAACTAACTACACCAACTTCTGGGATCGATGTACAAATCAATTTCATCTAATAAATCAATAAAAAGTTACGCGGAGAGGCTAAAAGTTGAAGTCTTCTTCACGGGTTTCAGGACAATGACTTGACAAAGATCTTGTGCACAAGATATGGACATTCATGATATCGGGATTCCTGGAAATTCTTGAATTTTTTTCGCTATCAATGAAGCTGGTGCAGCTCCTAGCCACTTTATCGATTCGTTTCCTCGTTTGAATTATGAAAAACCAGTGTTTATGCATGAACAATTGTGAGAGAGAGAGAGAGAGAACCTTCAAGCGGATCTGTAGAAGCTTGAGCCATGGCCATGTCAGGGATTACCCAGGAAAGGGAAGCGAAGAAGAGGAAGACGAATCTTGAAGGGAGCTGCCTGGACTCCATTGATTCCATAACCCAAGAGAGCCAAGCATTATCTGAAACGCGCATCGACGAGACCATATCTTCTGCTCCTAGATCTACCAAGTCATGTCCATAAAGTTCTCATCGGCCTAACAGTAGATTCACTAAATGCCACCGAAGCCGGCGGGCCGGGACCCGATTTTTCCACTTAAAAAATTAATTTTCTTTCCCCCTTTAGCCCTGCACCTCCTCTGCACGCTAAAGACCTGCGCCCCTTCATCAGCAGTCTCTCTCCCCTCTCCCTCTCCCTCTTCATTAATGTGGGGCGTCCTCCTTCTCCCTCCTTCTCTATCTCCTTGGAGAAAACTCCTCTCTTCTCACGCACGAAGCCCCATATCTCTCTCTGTTTTTTCAAAAAATCGCTCCCGCCCGCCCGCTAGTCCCGACCTCCGCCGTCGCCTCCGCCCGCCCAAGAGCAGCTGACTCCCGAACCTCTCACCGCCGTCGCCTCCGACCTCCGCCGTCGCGTCTGCCCGCCCAAGAGCAGCTGGGTCCCGAGCTCTGACCGTCGTCGCCTCCGACCTCCGCCGTCGCCTCGGCCCTCCCAAGAGCAACCCGAGCATTTGGCAATGCAGCTTTTGTCGTCGCGAGCTTCGCAACGCATCAGTTCTTCGCTGAAGCTCCTCCGCCATGCGCCGCCGTCACCAACATCTCCTGCTGTTTCCCCTTCTTCTTTCGTGCCCAGATGCTGCCTAGCTGTGTCGACTCTGCAAACGCGATCGAACCTCCAAAAAGACGCAGCAGCGAGCGATCCCGGGCGATTTCTTGAGATGGGCTGCGCTCGGTTCCGGCAGAACGTCGAGATTCGCCACCGGGTTCGCGCCGCTGGAGCCCAAGCCGTTGGATTCGATCATGGACGTAGGGAGAGTGAAGGTCCGTTCGGCCGAGGAGATAGCCTCAGTTTGGGATGATGTAAGCATTCCAAGTCCATTGCTTCTATACTGTTGTTATTGATGTGTCCAAAATGCGTGTTTTCGTAATTATTTTGATGCATTATAGAGATTGTATTTGTTCTGGGGGGCTAGGAATTGCTACAAAAAGTTATTTCAGAAGCTCGTTCGATGGACGCCTATCTGACCGAATTTGGCTTCTGTATTTTGGAACCAACACAACAAACTGTAACTGATAACTCTCTGTATCAAGTTGTTGGTTTGGTGAAACACTCTACATTTACTTGAAAAATAAGTTTAATAATCTGGCTTCGTCATTTCAGAAGAAGAATGGAAAGTGGAAGGATTTGTGGACAGTAGCTTCACAAATTTATTGCAACTCGTAGTGTAATTAAAGGATGACAGTGGGCTCAAGTGAAAATAGGAACCTCTAGGTTGTTGCAAGGGTATAGCATTAAGATTCTGAGAAACTAGTCTTTACAAGTTTAAGAGCTCTCTTTTTGGAGGGCCTGGACGTCCATGTCAAGCATTCTAATAGGCAAACGAGAGACCTGCTAATGTAATATTTGCCACTATTTACACAGAAGTTTACAGAATGAAGACGGAACCGCTTTAATATTTTTACTCCGGTTTTGAAATAGTAAACATAAATTTTGTTCTGAGGTATTGTACTTTGATTAGTCAAAAAACAGCAATTGCTCTCCCATCCTGAATCTACTGAAGATTGATAGTGTTCCTGCACTGTGCAGTCTGTATGCTATAAAATGCTATTGTCTTTTTCCCCCTTATTTCAGTAGTAATCTTAAAACTAGCATCTATTCACCACGCCTGTTCTGCCGATGCTTGAAATGTCTGATGGTTGGTTCTGTGTATTTAAGTATTTTAGCTCTTCTCGCAGCAAGAAGTTGCTCATTTTTACCATAATTATGTCAAGATTTACATTACCAGAAGTCTTTCTAATTTTGGACTCAAGTAAGATCATGAAGTTTGGTAACGGCAGAAGTTGACCTTGTCATATCAACATTAATGTGAATTAGTATGTATTGTGCCCTTTCAGCTTGCTAATCATCTGATCATGCTCTCTGGCATGTCTAAGTTTGTGGCAAAGGATTTGGTTGAATGTATTTTGCCAATCAGACCGAATTTGGTTTCTGTATTTTGGAACCAACACAACTGTAACTCTCTGTATCAAGTTGTTGGTTTGGTGAAACACTTTACATTTACTAGAAAAATAAGTTTCATAATCTGGCTTGGTCATTTCATTAGAAGAATGGAAAGCGGAAGGATTTGTGGACAGTAGCTTCACAAATTTATTGCAACTCGTAGTGTAATTATAGGATGACAGTGGGCTCAAGTGAAAATAGGAACCTCTAGGTTGTTGCAAGGGCATAGCATTAAGGGCCCGTTTGGTAATGTGCCAAATAGTGAAAATTTATGTTCTTTTGTTTCCAGAAATAGTTTGGGAACAGAAATGCGTTTGGTAAACTTTTTGTTCCTTGGCACATTTTTGCAAAAATTTGTGCCGAGAAACAGTTTTGGAAGAGAAACAAGAAGTAAAAAGTTCTTGTTTCTCAAGCAATTTGAGAATCAGTTTTTTTCTTCTTTTCTTTTTTTCTTTTCTTATTTTTGTGTTGTTCTTCCTGGCTGGGCCGGCGGCACGGCCCAGGCAGCAGCTTCGTCACGGCCCTCGTTGGCCGCCGGCGGAGGCGAGGGTCGCCCTCTCCGCCTGGGCGAGGCGGCCTCGCCCAGATCGAGCGAGGCCGAGCCTCGCCGTCGGTCGCGACGGCGAGGTCGGCCTCGCCCAAAGACGGCGAGGGTCCAACCCTCGCCGGCCCTAGGCTGTGGCCAGTCGCCGGCGACCAGCCATGGCCAAAGAAGAAAATGGGTAAAAAGAAAAAAAAAAATTCAAAATATTATTTGGGAACAGAAATTTTGTGTAATTACCAAACGCATTTCTGTTCTTTTCTACTCTAGGAATAGAAATTTTGGACAGTTTATCAAACGCCTTCAAATACTCAGAAATTGTTTCCGGGCACAGAATAAAAAAAAATCATTTCTGTTCAGAAATAGTTCCCGGGCACAGAATGGTATTCATGCGCACCCTAAGATTCTGAGAAACTAGTCTTTACAAGTTTAAGAGCTCTCTTTTTGGAGGGCCTGGACGTCCATGTCAAGCATTCTAATAGGCAAACCAGAGAAAGAGTATGAAGCTCAAGGATGATGACAACAGAGCAGAATATTGCATCCTCTTTGACATAGGGGATCTTAAAAATTCATGATTTCCTATTGCTCTTTTGGGATGTAGAACTGTGACTTATGAGAGAAGGAAGAGGAGCTAAAAAAACTCCTTAACTCTACGAAGACAGGAGCAGGAATAGGAATCTGTTGTTTTTGCTGTATTTGACTGTTCTTTTTGTTTCTGACATATTTTTGGGTGTGATCTTATAGATTCTTAACTCGATTGATTTTTCTCTCTACAGTGGCATGCTAGAGTGCAAGCTTGGCCTAAATGATAGAGTATCATTGGAGGGGCCCAAGGTCGAACAACAAAGGGAAAGGCAATTGTTTTGGATGGCATAAAGTTCCATCAGTAAGTTGTCTAACTCCATTAGCTCCTATGTTGGCTGAACTGCTTGTTAAGATGATTCTCCTTTCCTTTTTCTTCTGTCCATCTCAGTTTGATCTATCATTTTGGATTGAACTCTGTGTTGAATTAGGTGTGTACGCTTGGCCCGCTTCGAAAATGATAGGACAATCTCCTTTATACCATCTGATGGATCTTTTGACCTTATGACATAGACTCAGTACTCAGGTTTGCTTCGAACTTTGATTTTAGTTATTTTCCTATCATTGCATTTGTAGTCTTCTGAAAGATGCATTTATTTTTTCTACTTCAGGTAAAGCCACTTATCTGGGTGGAAGCCCAAGTAGAAAGGCATTCAAGAAGTCGTATTGAAATCATGGTAAAAGCTAGGAGCCAGGTCAAGGAGCGCAGGTGATTGTTCTTTTAATGATTATATAATTGCTTTTCTTGTTAATGATTTATCAGAATTCTAAGTTTGATTTGAAAAACTGTACTGCTACAAACGTTGAAATTGAGTTGCCAGTTCCTGCTGATTCTACGAATCCGAATGTTCGAACTTCAATGGGTTCTGCGTCATATGCACCAGAAAATGATGCACTTGTCTAGAAAATAAAATCCTGTCCTGGTGGCAAGGTATGGCTGTGTATCCTCTCACTTGTGTGGGTTGACTGTCTATACCATTGCATTTTAAAAGAATTGTGTTACACATATCTCTAGCCATTTCATTCTCATTTGGTTCTCCTTGCAAAACTGAATTTGCAGGAGTATATGTTGAGGGCTGAATTCAGTATACCCAGTATAACAGCCAAAGAAGCAACTCCTGAGAGGAAGGCCCCCATACGAGTGAAGTTTGAGATACCATATTTCACTGTCTCTGGCATACAGGTGCCTCTCTATAAGGCATAGTTCATTGCTCAAATCTTCCAATATATTCATGGTATTGGTCTGGTTTGACTTAACTGTTGGAGAAAGAATGATGTAAGGAGAAGGGTAAGATTTATTAGTAAAAAATGGTTGGCATGGACATATCAAATCCTAGATGAAGTTTCTTCATGACTATTTTAGTAAGAATCAGAAGGTTTGCCATGAGAAGACGTACAGATCTTTGAATGCCAAAATATCCAAGCATAACATTGTTCAAAATTATTTTATATACTATTAGTTTCTTAGATTGCTGGACATATTCTGCGGTGAAGCCTTTATTTCAACAAGCAAAGCAGAATATTCATTCCGTTTTATTTCTGATCCTTGATGCTGTTTTAGGTGCGGTACCTGAAGATTATTGAAAAGACCAGCTACTAGGCTCTTCCCTAGGTGAGATACATTACAATGGCAGGTGAGTATGAACTGAGTCTTATTTGAGGTAGATTTACCAGACATGCCAAGACTGATGGACAATGACAGAAGCTTCAGAAAATGCAGGCTTTTCGAAGAGTGGTTTGATGTGGATAATATCAGTTTTCTTGTTTTTCGACGCTGTATAATTATTCTTTTGGTTAGGCTTAATTGTTGGTGGTTCCCCAAATATATAGTACTCACATACTTTTGATAGATTTACCATTTTGATATTATGAATGAACGTGCTGTC